CTTTCGCACACAAAAGCACTGTCAGATTTACTGCAGTGTCAGACATGGAATCGTGGTAATCGCCATGTTTCGCTGTCCCCCCGGAGTCCAAAAAGCTAATATGTTTACGGCCCCGAAAATGAGATTGCTGCAGTGACCTTTTTTGATGAATACAGGCCCTGCCTCCACGGTTTACTGACCTTGACAACAATGCGGTTCTCTCCAGGTGTACGAGCTGTCCGGCTGAGCCCCGATCCCTTCACTTCCACCGTGGACTGTTCAGTCGTTCCCCCCTCTTAGGAGGGCGGCAGTTCTGACATTTCGGGGAACTACCTGTGACTGGTGTTTTTCTCACGCGGAGGAGTTGGTTAGTGAGACTCATTTTCTCTGCTCAGGGATTACAATTTGGCAGATGCTAGGAAAAGCACACCTGAGAGGACGCTGAGAGGATGAATTTGTGAATGTACAGCCTGTTTCACAACTGCACCAGTTTACTTTTATTTGTCTCACTGCCGTCCCTTTTCCGCTTAATTATTGTGGAAGTTCTGAATTAGTTTCAGTTATGGCGCATGCGTTTCGCTAAGGCATAGAGAGAGGATTCCCCCTGTGTCTTGTGGCAATGTTTGTGTGGTGGTTTTGTTGGGCCCCGGCCCCGTTTTTCTGTTGTTTCGTCGTTGTTTGAGAGGCGAAACGCAAATCTGGCTGGGGGATTTGCGGGTCGTCCTGTGTTTTTGGTTTCTTGTCTTTTTCCTGTTTTGTTTGTTTGGTCATTGCCACGAATTTTGACTGTACAGTTGGAACCACTGCGTTCCATTCGCTTCGTTAGTTTTCTGTTTGTACGAAGTCATCGGCCAAACCCGGGAAAAAATCCAACGACAAACGTTTTCAAAACAAAACTTTGTGCAGAAGTTGTGGACTCAGGTTTCAATACCATGGGTTACTCAGAAAGATGGTTGTGGGGTATGGTTAGTTGTTTCTTATGTTCTAATGCCATTCCCCTGTGGTGATCAGAAGATGGAGCCAAAGAGACTCTTGTCTCACAAATATCCATCTATCTGAGGGCACCTTTAAACCCAGGAAAGGTTCGAGTTTCCTGTGCGCTAGTTCCTAGCTTAGTTGCTGAAGCCTGGATCTTAATTGGTGATGTTTGGAGCTTAGTTGGAGAAGTTCAGAGCTTAGTTGCCTTGCAAACGGCATGGTAGTCGATAGACACTGCAGTGTACAGCACCACTGTCCAAGAAGGGGTGTGAAAGTTTGGTGAGAGGACGTGCAGTGTACTGAACCACCTTGAACATCTTTAAACCTATCTTGGAACAATGAATGTGCATGTGAACAGTCAGGAAACCAGTTTAAGTTTGTAGGAACCGATCTCTGAACTTTACAACCCATAGGAACCAGGTAGGAACCAATTTGGAACCAAATGGAACCAGTTTGTGCATGGAAGAGCTCGGGGATGGATTTTCGTTTGTTTTTGGGGCTGCTGCTTTTTCCCGTTGCGGAAATGTATTTTTTCCGTTGCGGCGACTTTTTGGGTTGCAAAGCTGGACTTTCTCTGCTGCGGGTTTTTTTCCTGCCTCGGCCGGTTTTTTTCTTGCCTCGGACGCGTTTTTTCCCGCCTCGGGCGGTTTTTTCCCGCAGCCTCCAGAATGCATTTTTTCTGCTGCAAAGGTGCTTTTTTGCTGCTGCCAGGTGTTTTTTCTTGCTGCTTTGAATTTTTCCCGCTGCGAAGCGGCATTTTTTGCCGACGTTTTTCCCCGCTGCGGAAGCAGCTTTTTTCCGCTGCAGGGCGTGTTTTTCCTGCTGCCAAACGTGTTTTTTTCCGTTCCGATGTTTTTTTCCTGCTGCGAACCTGTGTTTTTCGCGCGCTGCGCGGAGACAAGGGCTAGAGAACGTAGAGTCATACATTTAGCGTTGGCAACTTGTAAGCTGGATAGCGCATGGACAAGTAGGTGACAACAGCGACCAAACATTGAAACAACCGTCCGCGAATAAAAAGTTGCAGCGTGCAGCGGTGGACGTAGCGAAATGTTTCAACGGTAGTGGATATAAGCGAGAACGGCAAAAAGAAGAAGAGAAAGCAGAAGAACGACAACAACCACAACAACAGCAACAACAACAACAACGACAACGACAACGACAGCGACAACAACAACAACAACAAAACAAAGTCCAAAGTTGAGGACAGTAAACGAGCATAAACTCATTGCGTGTAAATGCAATTGTTTGATCAAAACTGTGGTGGTTTCTTTAGACTCTGACCTCGTGACGTGAGCCAACACAAGTGGCAAGCCGAATTTTCAAAGAGTTGCGAGAAAATTGCAAGGAAGTAGAAATGTGTTGCATGTAACAAACTTGTTGCGGGGTAAGGCTTGAAGCTTGACTCGAACTCACGCTGCATGTGTCAACTTGGTCCAAAATGTTACAGTCACAGCCGTGTCCGGAAGCAACTCTGCGATGTCACGCTTTTTCAGCAACCACCGCCGTCTCGCGCGAGGACCACGAAGATTGCAGGGCATCACCTGGCACACACGCGGGAAGAAGAACAGAAAAAACAAAGCAACTGGGTAAACAGTCCCAAAAATGAAAATCAATGCAAGTTGGCAGCTTGAGTCTTCAACATACTCACTGGTGACGGTGTGAAATCAAAGATTTGGAGCTCTGTATCAGTGAACGATATGACTCGTTGAATTGCTTGACACCAAACTCGGTCAAAACCAAGGCTCCGGGCACAACGTCCAATGCAATGGGAAGCCTGCAAAAATGGTTTCTTTTGGGCATGCTGGGCACATGTATATGGTAGAACAATGGTTGCAGGCGGGCGCCTAGCATTCACGATACAAGAGCGTTGCTACCTCAGCCACAAATACAATGGAAGCTGTAGCACGTGAAAAATATTGCAATACTTGATGCTGAGCCAATATCCATTCGATCAGAAACGCTGTATTTCATGATCGAAAATCAAATCGTTGACAACTGTCCACGGCAATCATGCATTGCACTATAAGACTCAGACGTGCTGTGCGGCGACGAGCGCGTGGTGTGACAATAGTGCCAGAATTCAAAGGACGACCGCGTTTGCGATGACACGGTACATTTGCAAAAGACAAGGACGGCTCGGCGAAAGCAAGCTTCAACCCGCGAGACAACACCTCATGCTCACAGCCACCCCACATGGCAAAGGATGGGCAAGAACAACAACGTCGCTCAAGATCGATGCGGACAAATGCAATCTGGTCGAAGATTTGCTTGTAAGGAGCCAAATAAAATAGAAATCCAGAATCAGATGTTTGGAGCACATTCAGTGCACAGAGGCGTGATGGCATGGACGAAGCGTCGCAATGCAGCAACTCAACCACGCGGCTGCAAACATCAAGTGCCAAAGGATTGGAACGCAGAGACATGCGGACAGCCACAAAGGCTAAGCTCTCCGAAATGTTGAAGATCATGTACGATGGCTCTTCTTCGCTGTGTGCATTCCAAAGAAGCAAAGCAGGAGTCCGCCCAGCAGCTAAGAAGGCAGCTGTTCCATGCAAGTGCACAGGGTCTAAAGGCACCGGTCGTGTATCTAAGGGATCAGCTGCATTCCATTCATACAAACTACACCATCGGTCATATAACTGCTGCATCACAGGCAGTGCAGAGACTAGAGTCGAGCGTCCAACGCGACTCTGGAAATTCTTTTGCCAGTCGCTGTGTAAAGCCTCTGCTGGCTCGCTTCCGCACCCTGTCCCTGGAACAATCCCTTCATAACCACACCAGAAAGATGCGAACCAACACTCGGGGTCATGCCCGGCTGCGCTGAACGAGGCAGGTAAAGTTTGCGTGTACGTGCTGGTGAGGTACGCAGCAACGAGAGGTTCTTCTTTCGCCTGCAAACGATTCATCAAACCTTGCCAGCAGAAGTGAAACAAGGAAAGCCGGGGAACAAAGCGGATGCACTGCAGGCAAGCTCGCAACCAACCTAAATGTGTCTTCACGAAGCATCCATTTTCCACGTGGGTCTGAGAAAGACGGGCGTCCAATTCACGGTATTTCTGTCTCAAGTGAAAATAATCATCACACGGACGGCTGTTTGGGAAGTGGAGCAAACGAGCAGATTCAAAAGCAGGAGCAAAATCTTTGTGGACTTGTTTCACGCAGTCTCGTAAAGGAGGGCGGCCGCTGCCATGCGTTTCAACCCATAACTGTTCAAGAAGAGCAAACATGCGGTCAGCATTGGGGCTGGACTCTGCATGAATTATGGCTTGAAGGACAGGCAAACCACGTGTTACGCAGGCACGTATTTGCTGGCGAGTTCCTTGGAGGCGGGTATTTCGCAGCCCGGTTTTCGCCAACAGGCTGACAGTAAGCACGCCCATGCCACGGTCAAGGACTTTCTGTTTTGAATCCACACCAAGTAGAACGTCAACAGCAGAATATCGGGAGAGAACAGACATCATGCCAGGACAGGTGAAGGGGATGAAGGTTTCGGCATCAGAACAAACAACTCCACGGGACAAGACATACAAACCATGGATTTCAGCAGGGGTTGGATACCAAGATTCCAAACTCAAAGCCACAGTACCGACGACATTTTCTGCGTGATGGGGCGGAGCTTCATTCTGCAGCTTTGCTTTCTGCTTCTCACGTCTGATCCAATTGGAAATCTGGGCAACATTTGGCAATGGTGAGCCAGGACATTTAGCTTGGAGGTGCAACAGCAGGTCACGTGCTGATGCTGCACCTTCGGCAAGGAATGCTGCAGCAACAGCTTTCTGAGCAGGGGTAAAAATTTTGCCAGAATTCTTTTGCGAGTTGTGTTCATGCTGTCGCAAGCTGGACAACACGAGCGTTCCCTGCAGCATGCCCACGCGGTTGCAAAAAGTAAGTGGCTAGAACCACATATGGACAGTCCACGTCCTCAGCACACAGAACACGAAAACTCCATTTGGTCAAATCAGAATGATTCGTCTGGAGACGATGCCGAAATGACGCGCACGCTGCGTGTGTCGCTATCTCAGCTTTAATCTCAGCACGTGTTTTCAAAGGCAAACCGAACGTACAAGCAGCCAAAAAAGCAGGATTGTCCCGTGAAGCAGCAGAGCCCGCAGGAGACGCTGGAACTTCCGGGGGACACGGAGCAGCGAACGGGGCACCAGAGGCAGAAACTTGCGGCCGACACATCGCAGCAGAGCTGCAACAAGACGCACCATGACCATGACTGACAGAGTTATGAACAGAAGGCAACACCGGAGAGGATGCTTTCGCCGCAGGAGAGCCTTTCGCATCAGCAGTCGGCACTGTTGCGGGAGGAGTAGGGGCAGAGCCCGCAGGAGAAAAGCTGGAACTTCCGGGGGACACGGAGCAGCGAACGGGGCACCAGAGGCAGAAACTTGCGGCCGACACATCGCAGCAGAGCTGCAACAAGACGCACCATGACCATGACTGACAGAGTTATGAACAGAAGACAACACCGGAGAGGATGCTTTCGCCGCAGGAGAGCCTTTCGCATCAGCAGTGGGCACTGTTGCGGGAGGAGTAGGGGCGGTCGGCCGGAGTACAGGCTCAACACGCGGACAGGTTTCCAGAGCTAGCATTGGGAAAGTCCAATTCTCGAAAGGTATACGGTACCTCAGCAACCATTCCTTTGCTTGCTCATGCAATGTGGACAATGGAAATTTGACAAAAGAAACCTGTTTTGGGTCAGTGTTTGCAGCTAAGGCACCGCACGACAAGCGCCCCAACCCAATGTCAGTGCAAAGCTGCCAAAGACGAAACAATCGGACATCTACGGACGCAGATTTGTCGAGCCAGGCACGTTTGAAATCCAAATCACATGCACAGCATTCATCCACTGATAAAACCTGTTGCGGACAGCCACGGAGCACGCGAAGAAAGAACGATTCCTCTTCAGACAATTTACAAGGCCGTTGCACCAACCAAGCCCGTTCCGCAGCATTGACAGCCAAAATCGCATGCCCACGCAAGAACCGACGGTGCACAAATCTGACCGCGCTGAAGAAACATGGGTCCGTGATTTCAATGTAATATTCATGAGGGAAGAAAGGGCAAAAAACCCAAGCCCAAAGTTGTTCCAGCACGTGCGATGTCATCATGGCGGTTGCTAACCAATACATGCTTTTTGGCATGGCAAGACGCAAAGCTTGTGCGACAGTCACCTCTCGCCGCTTAATAGCTGTCACTAGTTCATGAATTTCTTTCACGCTGCCACCCTGTTCTTCTGTGATCTGAAATGTGAGATCTCGAGCAGCAACCACCTTTGGACCAAAACGAACAAGCACCAACTCGAAGATGCGGCGGAGGATGGGCGCTGTCACAGCTTGGAAAAATCCAGAATAGGATGCGGGTGGCGGGTTTTCGTATGCGCCGAAACTGAACAAAAACCGGTGCGCCAATCCAACAGGCTTGTCACTGGCTAACTGAGCCCAAAAATGATTGAGATAGTATTCTTGCTGCAAGAAAAGAAAATGGATGTTGGTGGGATTGAGTTGCAACCCTTCTTCTTCGGGGATAGGTCCTTTTGGGTCACGGGGCTTCCTCCTAGCACCCAGCTGCATTCTTTCCCGAAGAGTTGCAAAATCAAACTCTCCTCCATGGGCCGCATTCAGAAACAATCCCAAATCAATGTGTCGGTACGGATCAATATCACCACCAGCCGCATACTTGGAAGAAAGACAAAGACCAGCTTCATCACTATAGACAGTAAGGTAACCGTCACAAGCACGGAGCTTATCACGAGCACACGCAGAAGTAGAATTTTGTTGGTAATGAAAACGGTCAGTGGCAGTGCCAGGCGCTAGGTGCGGGTATTGAGCAAGCACCTCTTGCAACAAAGCAACAATAGGAGCACTGGCAGGCGACTTACCTTCCCCGACATTTGCCACAGCAGCAACCCAATACCGATTCCGAGACGCAGACGGAAACCGTCGCAAATCCACTGCCAGATGCCGTTCAAACAAAGAATTTATGAGACCAAGAACAACATCCACATAAAAGATTGCTGGCATGCCAACAGACATTGCTGTCGCCTGCAACAAAACCGCCAACGGGTAAAACATAGTGTCAGCAAAGCCAAATCGGCACTCCAAAGCTGCGGCCGCATTGATATGCTCTCTTGTCAATGTGTCGCATTCAGCGGCAAGAATTTTCGGCAAGGACCCATGCGTCAAACCAGAATCCAAGAAAAACGGAAGTGTTACCAAGAAAGAAGGCACATGAAGACCAGCGCAAAAAAGACGCAGGACAGTTGACGCATCAGCAGAGATGTTGCCGGTAGCAGTGGCATCTAGCAGCGACGGGGGCAAAGAAGCAGCTGGAAGCCAGGGCGGCTCAAGTTTTGGAAGCGCTGCAGCATCAGGATCGAGCGCGAACAGCAGTAGCTTGCAATCTCTGGCAACCGTTGGCGGCCAAGATTGCCTATCAACCACATGAGCGTCGTCAAATGTACGGATATAGTTGGTGTTTCGCACATGGGCTGCAAAGTGTTGGCTTAAATACGTTGCAACAGCTTTCAAGGAATACCATGCATTGTTGAATCGAATATTTTCGTAGCCATGCAGGGCGCACGTAGAGCCTTCCGCTCGGTTAACTTCCAACAGCAAAAACGCAGCAGATGCGACAACAATTGTGCGTTTGCGGCAACCCATCCGCTGACCACAGGAAACACAAAGTGGTGCATCCTAGCCATCTGGAGGAACAACAGTCGAAAAAAACAAAGACTCAAGGGAAGACTGCAAAGAGCATGTTGCAGCGCAAGGGAGCCACAACGACAGGAATGGGTAATCAAATTGTTCATGCACAGGTTGCACGGAGACGCAGCTCTCAGAGCAGATGCGCTGACTTTCTTCCCGCAACTGAATAGCAAACATCTCAAGCGGAGATTGAGAGGCAAAGACCCCATGCGAACAATTCTGAGCACTATGAAGAAGTTGTTGCACCACATCACCAACTGCTTGATATGTGTCAAAATCCAAGCCATTTGCAACGAACCACTGCCGCCACCGTTGCACAGAAACAGGTTTCTCGCCACGAAGGACGTCTTTGTGTGTTTCCACAAGCAAGCAACAAGCACACGCACAAGAAGCAGGAAGCGGTAGGGCATGCAAGGCGTCCAGAAAAGGCTTCACTTGGAAAAGCACATGCAAGGCAGCCCCCAAGTGACAAGTCTTGGCGCCGGCATTCACGAAGCCAATGGAAGGAAGCGGAGCAGCAGTAAACATTGTGTTTCCAAGGAGTGCGTGCAACAGTTGGTTGCGACGCCGACGGCTCACAAACCAAACATGCCACAGGAGCTGCACCAAGAGCTCAGCAGATCGCCACAGAGACGCAAAGGAGGAACGCAAGAGATTGCAGCGGGAAAGGGTGCGCAACCAAGCACGGTCAGTCTCACTCAAACTCCATATGCAAGCAGCAATCGGCAGCCACGGCGCGCGGACGTGCCAGAGTCCATAGAAATCATCCATAAGAACATGCGCGACAGACCATAAGGCAAAGAGCAGCCAGGTCACCCAAAACCCATCAGAATTCAGATCCTGCATTGGAACATCAGGCTTGTGAGACAAACACATCTTTGGAGTTGGCACGGCCAGAGAGGAGACACATCGCAAATCTGAAGTCCATGGGATACATCCGGGGCCACGGGCAACAGAAGGTGGAGACAGACTCACTGCTGTCTCGGATTGAAAATCAACAGCACGCGCAGCACGCACAAACGAAGTCTCAATAGCACCACCGCCTACAACAGGAACCATGCAAAATCCATCCACAACTTTAGGGGCGCTGCTTGCAAGGAAAATATCCCCACGTTTCACTTTGGAATGTATCTTGTAGGACTTGCACGACTTCCAAAGCACAGTGTCTGCAGTGGCGATCATGAAATCAGGACATGTGTGCTTCCAAGCAGGAGACAGGACGAGAGGAAGGCTCAAGAGTGACATAGCTGCAAGCAAAGTCAACGAACTCAAGGCACAAAATGCCACACAACCAATGCGCAATCGCACCAAAGACTTACTTTCGTTTGCTTGCGAGCCATAACAGCATGACGGAAGCATCTCTTTTGTTGTGACCGAAGCCCCAAATGACTTTCCGTACCACTGATAAAACTTGAACAGCCATCCAATCTTCGAAAAGCATTGAAAAATAATTGCAAGATAAACACCGGCTGCGAGAATCATTGGACGTGCAATCAAATCTCTTGCGGATGAACCTCCAAAGCTGTCCGTTCGAACCTACTTGCAATGGTCAGGCTGACTAGTGTCTGTTGGAACACACACACACACATTTCTTCAGTTCAAACCTGTGTTCCAACTTGCAACACGCTTTGTTTTGAATCGAAGGTCCAAAGTCCTGTCCCCACCGGTGCTCAAAACTTGTGCATGACAGTGCAGCCTGACAACTTTTCATGCTCCCCACCTTTGCGCTAGCTAGGAAAATGGCAAAAATTATTTGCAAGCAGCGCATAATTTGCACCTGCAGCCTTACTTCACAAAGTAACCCTCAAGTGTTAGGTTGGAACTGTTTTTTTGCCACAAAAGCAGTCCAAGGCCACAAACAGGGAAAGAAAGCAACAACGACAACAACAACAACAGCAACAACAACAACTGCCACCTCCACCATCACCACCATTGCCACCATTGCCACCATTACCACCACCACCCGCAGCAGCATGGGCAGCATGGACAATAATTCAATATGTGCAGCATGAGGAGCATGAGGAGCATGGGGAGCAGCACGTGCCATGGAACGCATACAATGGTTTTCCTCCGGGCTGTCCCTTTCACCACATGGAGCCAACAGGCACAGCTACAGCAATGACCACGGCAACAACAACGACAACCATGACGACGACGACAAGGACAGCGACAACGACAACAAGGACAAGGACGACAACAACAACAACAACAACAGCACGTGCTATCGAACGCATCGCGGGTACAACAGCACGTGCTATCGAACGCATTGCGGGGGGAGGCGCTGCGCCCTCCCCCCGCGAGCCCCCCACCCGCTCAATGAATAGCTAATCACCTTTCTGCCTTCAAGCAGAAGCGCAGCTACCACCACAACATCAATGGCAACAACAACAACAACAAGAACAGAACAACAACAACAACAACACCAACACCAGCAACAACAACAAAAAAAACTAACTAAGTTATCTCAAGTCTCTTAAGTCTCTTTAGGCCACCTCAGTCGTCTTAAGTCGCCTTAAGTTTTTTAAGGCCGCCTTAAGATTTTTAAGTTTCCTTAAGTTTCCTAAGTTATCTCAAGTCTCTTAAGTCTCTTTAGGCCACCTCAATGGTCTTAAGTTGCCTTAAGTTTTTTTAGGCCGCCTTAAGTTTTTTAAGTTTCCTTAAGTTTCCTAAGTTATCTCAAGTTTCTTAAGTCTCTTTAGGCCACCTCAGTGGTCTTAAGTCGCCTTAAGTTTTTTTAGGCCGCCCTAAGTCTCTTAAGCCGCCTTAAATTTCTTAAATTTCTATCAGTTTTTCGAAGTCTAGTTTCTTTGAAGTCTCTGCGAGCCTGCTTCAATTTCAATAAGTTCCTTCAAGTCTCTTTAAGTCTCCTTCAGTCTCCGAAGTCGTCTTAAGTTTTTTTTAGGCTGCCTTAAGTTTTTTAAGTTTCCTTAAGTTTCCTAAGTTACTCAAGTTTCTTAAGTCTCTTTAGGCCACCTCAGTGGTCTTAAGTCGCCTTAAGTTTTTTTAGGCCGCCTTAAGTCTCTTAAGCCGCCTTAAATTTCTTAAATTTCTGTAAGTTTTTCGAAGTCTAGTTTCTTTGAAGTCTCTGCGAGCCTGCTTCAATTTCAATAAGTTCCTTCAAGTCTCTTTAAGTCTCCTTCAGTCTCCGAAGTCGTCTTAAGCCTCCTGGTCTTCTCAGGTGTCACAAGTTAAATGAAGTTGTACTCAAGTCTCTTGAGTCTCGTTAGACCCTTTTAGTCGCCTTAAGTCTTTTAAGCCGTGTTAAATTTCTTTAAATTTCCCAAGTTTTCGAAATCTAGTTTTTTCAAAGTCTCTGCAAGCTTGCTTCAGTTTCACATCAAGTCTCTTTCAGTCTCCGGTCTCCTCAGGTGTCAGAAGTTAAAATTGGTTTCTCAATGCGTCGTTTTTGTCGCCTTAAGGCTGCAAATTGCAAAGTCCAAGTCGTTTTTTTCCTCTGTTTCCCAAAGTCTGCATTTGTCGTTGCAAATTGCAAAATGTAGTCGGAAATGCTAAAAATTGTTTCGATTCGCTTTGACACTGGTTCAGTTTTTGGCAAAGTAATTGACAAATTTTCGCTGTTTTCCACGAGAGTACTCCGCATAAACATCCATCAAGACTAAAATCTTCAATGTTTTTAACGATTATTGAAGGTGTTGAGCAGATTTGTTTGCTCCAAAAAAATTCTAAATTTCTCTTTTGAACAGTTTTTATTACAATTTGAAACACTTTTTGCACCAATTTTTGAAAATTGAGACTTTCAGCGATTTTTTGGAAACACTTGTAAAGAGTGGAAAAGAGAACTAACTGTTCTAAACATGTCTTACTGCAGTAGATTTTTTCCAGACTTCGCGAAAATTGAGAGTTCTAGCAATTCTTGGGACAGTGAAGAAGAGAACGGAAGAAATTTAACTGTTGCCGTCAACTTTTGCCGTAACTTTTTGCCAATGAACAAATCTAAAAGATTGAATTGAGACGAAAATTGAGACTTCTAGCAATTCTTGGGACAGTGAAGAAGAGAATGGAAGAAATTTCACCATTGCCGTCAACTTTTACCGTCAACTTTTGCTGTCAACTTTTTGCCAATAAACAAAAATCCAAGAGCAAATGTGAAGCGTGAAGAATCTGGATGCTCTTTCGACAGGTTTCAATGCAGTTAAAAAACTGGAGGTGGAAAAAAAACGCAGAGACGATGCGGAAAAAATGAAGAGGTGCAAAAAACACCCTTTTGAGGCAGAAAAAGACGTGAGGCAGAAAAAATACAAATTTGCTGCAGGAAAAAGCTGCAGCCTTTGTTTTTGTGGGTTTTGGTTTTTGGATGTTGTTTCACCCATGTCTTAGGAACTTGATGTTGTGAACGTATTTTGTCGGAGTTTTGTCGGTTATTTGTGAGTTTGAGCTGAAGGCGTTTTACTTTGGAGAAGCCGGAGAGCGTTTTTGGAAGCTTGAGAACTCTTTTGAAGTAGTTTGAGAAGTTTGAGAACGCTTGAGTGTCACTGCGTTTGCCTCACGGGCTGCTGCTTTTTCCCGTTGCGGAAATGTATTTTTTCCGTTGCGGCAACTTTTTGGGTTGCAAAGCTGGACTTTCTCTGCTGCTGGTTTTTTTCCCGCCTCGGCCGGTTTTTTTCTTGCCTCGGACGGGTTTTTTCCCGCCTCGGACGGTTTTTTCCCGCTGCCTCCAAAATGCATTTTTTCTGCTGCAAAGGTGCTTTTGTGCTGCTGCAAGGTGTTTTTTCTGCTGCTTTGAACTTTTCCCGCTGCGAAGCGGCATTTTTTGCTGGCATTTTTTCCCGCTGCGGAAACAGCTTTTTCCCGCTGCAAGGCGTTTTTCTCCTGCTGCCAAACGTGTTTTTTTCCGTTCCGATGTTTTTTTCCTGCTGCGAACCTGTGTTTTTCCCGCGCTGCGCGAAGACAAGGAGCTAGAGAACGTAGAGTCATACACTGGGCGTTCGCCACTTGTAAGCTGGATAGCGCATGGGCAAGTAGGTGAAGAAGGCGACCAAACATTGAAACAACCGTCCGCGAATGAAAAGTTGAAACGTGCAGCGGTGGACGCAGCGACATGTTTCAACGGTAGTGGATACAAGCGAGAACGGCAAAACGAAGAAGAAAAAGCAGAAGAACGATAACAACCACAAGAACAACAACAACAAGAACAAGAACAAGAACAAGAACAACCACCACCGCCACCACCTCCACCACTACAACCTCCAACATCACCACCATTACCACCACCACCATCACCCGCAGCAGCATGGGCAGCACTGACAATATGTGCAGCATGAGGAGCATGGGGAGCAGCACGTGCCATGGAACGCATACAATGACTTTCCTCCGGGCTGCCCCTTTCACCGGACAACGATGACAACCATGACGACGACAAGGACGAGGACGAGGACGAGGACGAGGACGACGACGACGACAAGGACGAGGACGAGGACGAGGACGAGGACGAGGACGAGGACGACGACGACGACGACGGCGACGACGACGACCACAACCACAACCACAACCACAACCACAACCACAACCACAACCACAACAACCACCACAACCACCACAACCAACAACCACAACCACAACAACCACAACCACAACCACAACCACCACAACAACCACAACCACAACAACCACAACAACCACAACAACAACCACCAACAACAACAACAACAACCACCAACCACAACAACCACAACAACCACCACAACAACAACAACAACAACAACAACAACAACAACCACAACCACCAGGACAGCCAAAAAAAATAATTTTGTCTCAAGTCTCTTGAGTTTCTTTGGGTCCCCTCAGTCACCCTAAGTCGCATTAAGTGTGTTAAGCCGCCTCAAGCTTCAAGTTTCCTCGAGTCTCCCGAAGTCTCTGCAAGTTAATTTCACTAAGTTCCCTCAAGTTTCCTTAGCCTTCAGTCTCCGAAGTCGTTTCAGGTGCTCTGCTCTCCTTAAGTCTCCAAAAAACACTGAAAATTGCTTGAAGTTTCCTTGTTTCGGAATGTCTGTAAGTCTGCACGTCAAATTACAATTTTTCGAAGTGCTTCGAGTCCTCGAAATTGCTCGAAATGGCAACTTTTCACAGCCAGGGCCAAGATTCTAGTCTAACATTCAAAAAGCTTACAAATCTAAACAGAAAGAAGCTAAATTTAAATTTTACAGACAGAATTTTGAATGCAGATTCCGCAAGATTAGATTATCGTGGTCCGTTCGCAAACCATCTGTCAGATTTGAAAGACAGAC